GACGAGCACTCACAATCCTGCCGTCCACTGACTAAAACGCGGCTAAGTGAGAAATGGTCAATTATCCTTTTTAAATAGCAAAATTGTAGAGGTATTCTATTTTAAAATTAGTTAACGTGTCCGACTTATCGGAAGTTACCTTAATGATGCATAGCTGAAATATCATTAAATAATTTCAATATTCTAAAACTGGGTTATGGTTTTTTGGTTTTTTATGATATCTCAAAAAAATCTTTTGTCACATAGCCGCGTTTTAGTCAGCAGACGGCAGAATCAGCGTACGCACAGCACTCGTAGACCAGTGTGTGTTCGCCTGTTTTTAAAAACAAATCAAAAATGCAAATCCTCATACAGGTCTTAAGGACAGGAGTAAAATAAAACCAGTGAAGGTTGAAAGCGATTAACCATTGAAAACGGAGATATTTAGTTTAGTTTACACCGACTTTTAGTATCTAGACTGTTTTAATAGCTGTACAGGGCCGCATTCACGTGGGATGTTAGAAAAACAAAGTTACAAAGCTCATATTATAAAGGTCGCCTTTTTGTTCATATCATAACAAGTTTTACTTATAGGCACTTATTTGCTTGGATTGCATTCGAAGCGAGAATGTCGCAACATTTTCATAGTAACTACTATACAGAAACTTACGATCTGCCACGGTTCTTCACGACGGCGAGCAGAAGCTGTGTGGGGTACAAAGTGCAAAATATACGAAATGAAAATAAAATATTATAATATAGGATTTTTTTTTTTAATCTTATTCGCGTGTTTGTTTTTTCAAACAAACGAATATTTCGGGCATTCCACAAATCCCGTGGTCACGGCTGACTTAGTGATAAAAAAAATCATTTCCAATTTGTAGCTGTCGTGAAAACCTAAACACTCGTTAATTATACAACAAAATCTGTAAAGAGAACGTAATGTTGGTTTGTATGAAAAACAAATGTATACGATTTAGATCCGAAAAAAATTGTTTCATTTCAAAAACTTTTGTATCGTACAACGTTTCGTTGTTTCGTATGTGCAGGAATTATAAGAAAGGTGGCACTGAGGTAGATAGGTATAGGTAGATATATTACACTAATCTTTAAAATCATTTATAGCGTATTTGATGGCTCAAAACCAGGTTAAATATGCATTAATTTTAATTTAATTAACGGGGTGATAAATCTGTCATAGATTTCTCATAGATGGCGCTACGACTAAAAAGTCGTTCAAAGACCAAGTACAAAGACACGACTCAAGCACATAGAAAAATTCGTGAGGTCCGTTGGTTCGTTCCGTGGCTTAGTTGGTATAGCGTCTGGCACGGTATGCAAGAAGACGTCGGTTCGAATCCGACCGGATCGAAGGAATTTTTCTGAGTGTTTTTTCTGAGTGTTCGATCTTTGTATTAATAATTATAACAAACTAGTGGAGTAATTTCACAAAAAATAATTGAATATCAATTCAATAAAAATTGAATTAAAATTAAAATTTTAAAAAATTAAATATTATTTATTTTCAGACAAACAAGTTCATAGCATATTAGTTATAAAACCTTAACAACTATGTTAGTAACATGTACGCTAAAAAACTAAAAATATGAATTTAACGATATACAATGTCTATACAGTAATAAGAATAATAATATTAATAGTAATGTTTTTTTATGTTTTATATAATTTGATTATGTTTTATAATTTTTTAATTTGTTCTCAAAGTCTCTTTTTTTAAGTTTTTTATAAGTTCATATTTTAATTTTTATTGAATTGATATTCAATTATTTTGTTGTGAAATTACTCCACTAGTTTGTATAAGCAATAGCGATCTTTGTAATAATAAAGTTCATATTTATTTTTAAATTGAATATTTAACTAAACCCATTTTAGTTCAATGCTATGCACAATTATCATCGGTTCCAAGCTAAAGAGTGTTTTAGAATTATATTAGTTTGAATTGTCGGACATGTTTTGAGAACTGTTATTGTCTGTTAGGTAAATATAGCCGTGTATACACTACAATGCTCCGGCTTGGTCAACTACAAGGCGAGGATATGATCTTTAGCAGATCTCTTTTTTATATGATACCAAGTAACGACACGAACAAGTCGTGCGCCTGATGGTAAGTGACACGCCTGTCTGACTATACCTATGACTTGACAAGTCCTACGTGCCTGTAATTTCAGCAGCACCCTTACCCTTAAAAACGGAACGCAGTAATGCTCACGTTACTTCTTGGCGACAGAAATAGGTAAGGTGGCAGTATTTCCCTGGACCGACTCTTTCACAAGGAGCTTTACTACTACGAAGACCCTGAAGGAGTTCGGGTAGCAACAGTAGGACCCTGCAGCCAACCACACGCAAAATAGGCGCCAAGACATCCAGTTACGACACCAGAAAATCACACCAAATAAGTAAATTTCCAAAACATAATAATAGCTGCTATTATTGATACAAAAATCCAATAAACACTAAGAAAAACTCCTTCGATCCGGCTGTAGGTACTCGAACCAGCGACCTCGCCGTACCGGGGCTATAGCTCTCCCAACTAAGCCATGGACCAAGTCAGCAGGCCTTACGAATATCATGATCAAATGAAATAATAATCGAACTTTAAGTAACCCAGTGAGATTCAGACGTATATTGTGTCGGAACAGTGTCGGCTTTTTAGTCATTGACGCCTTTTCTGGTATTGACATAAAATAATGAAACCTCCTAACTCCCTACCTGTGCTAGGAAGCGGCGTATAGAAAGCAAGCAGCCTCCACACGCGCTGCGTTAACCCGTCAAGTCAGGGAATAAATTTTATAATTTATGACATTTTTTGTGATGGCAACCTTCGACGCTGCCGGTGCGCCCGCGCTCGCTACAGCTAATAAAGGTTACGAACTGAGCTGTTGGAGTAATTATCCTTGTGTTTTCGAAATATGTACGCTAATCCATAGAATACAATTATGGTTTGCTATTAAAAGAATGATAAAAACGGGGGCCAGCATACTTTTTAAGTTGAAAATCATGTCCCATTTAATATCAATTGGCTTGTTAAATTATGACGATACAAGTAAAAACATCTATATGTGTATTTCTATAAATAATAAACAGGTTGTACTACATGACCGCTCAGAATTTTAATATATGCGGATTTAAAAAAAAAATCATCCAGCCCAATCTGAATTTCCATTCGAAATTCAAAGATAATGGCCAATTTTAAGCTCGATTCAAATGTAAATAAGTAAGAGGTATAGAATCTTTTGTGCCAAATAGTAATTTTTACTAGAGAACGCTTTAAAAAGACTCTTAATTAAATAAAAACAAAAGACGATAGGACTTAATATCTTTTATCATTGCGTGATTATTAGCATTCTAAAGCAATAGGAAATGAAACTATTTTTCCGGGTTTAAATCGAATATATTTGTTTTTTCAAACAAACTAACGTTTCAGGCCTTTTACAGGTCCCATGGTCACGGTTGACTGATTAAAAATAAGTTAAATCCGGAAAAATAGATACATTTCCTATCTGTAAAAATCGCGAAAATCTTCTAATTCTAAAGCAATGTTTGTAAAAATATCTAAATCTCAAAACGTGAACTTAGACTTCCTTTACCTCTCACCTTCAAAATTGGTTTTGAGTTTTTTAACCATCCCAAAATAGCGTAATACTTAGGGCGCACTTTAAGTTTCCGGAACTGGCCACTTACTTAAACAATATTTAAAAAGTAATTACATTTGAAAATGGAACTCTTTGGCTGCGTGCTCTCGGTGGATCCCACATAATTTGACTGAGACTCGAAAAACGGATCGCGTCACTTGGTGCAATGCCATGCTTACCAGATTCAACGAAGGGGCGTCAAATTTGGTGTGGGACATAGTGACAGGTGACGAAACATGGATTTATAATTACGATCCCAAAACAAAGCAGCAATCGAGCGTATGGGTCTTTCGAGATGTGCCGAACCTAACCAAAGTGGCGCGCATGCAAAGTGCCACTAAGCGGATGATTGCTTCTTTTTTTAATAAAACTGGACACGTGACAACTGTTGCTTTGAAGAATCGTTGTACCGTGAATCGTGTTTGGTATACGACCATTTGTTTGCCGGAAGTTATTGACAAACTCCGTAAAAATATCCGTAAACGCCGTATCATCTTACACCACGATAATGCCAGTTTCCTCATGGGCAGACAGACAAATGAATTTTTGAAGGTGAACAACGTTGACCTTATGAGCCATTCCGCGTACAGTCCCAACCTGACACCTTGTGACTTTTATTTATTTTCAAAAATTAAGAACCAGTTACGCGGTCAACGATTTTCATCACCAGAAGAGGCTGTCGAAGAGTATGAAAAATATGTTTCAGAGATTGTCACGGAGGAGTGGCGTAAATGTTTTCAAAATTGGTTCATGCGTATGAAAAAGTGCATTAACGTTAACGGAGAATATTTCGAGAAACAATAAATTCATTTCTGACCATATATAGTACTTTTTTCTCCCCTCCTCCGCTGCCTGCTACTCAGTCCACTGCTCATCTGCTATCGTTTTTACCCCCCTTAAAGCAAAAAATGTACCAACATCTATCGAAAATTAATTCCGGTTCAGACAATGCAAATGTAATGTCATCCCTCGAGGTGCAACTGAACCCGGGGCTGGATGCGAATTCAATTTAATTATTTTTGACAAGCAACCGGTCTCGGGATTATTTGGGCTCATTCAGCTCATTCATTGCAACATTAAACCGACCCCGGTTTCAGATGCTACAAACCTTTTTTAACTACTTTCGTAGTTTGATGACATACGCCATTTTGCTTTAGGGAAATACCGCCAACGTTAATAGAAACTTTATCCTGCAGAAGGGTGCTATTACGGCAATTTACAAAGCGGGCCCCAGAGGGTCACTTGGAGACAAGTTTTAAAGAAATTATGCATTGTTACACCGGCGGCGTCAAGTACATTCCTGAAAATATAATTTCTTATTATTGTTAAATGGAATTTATTTATTTATACATTTTAGTAAAATTCACAGACAAATAATACAATTACATTATACTTAAATATGAGTATTTCAATGCCATTTATTACATGATAGACGTAACAAATAACTATTTCGTAGAGAAATCTACACCGCGAACGAACCTAGATAGCTTAGCTTACGTAGTTGCACGCAAAACGAATGTCAGAAAATGCGTAGTAAGTAGTGACGTGTGGGGATGATGGGCGGCAGAAGGGCGACATATTAAACAGAGCTTAGCGGGATCGTTGAGTTAGTTTAGTTAGCTCGGTTAGCTTAGTTCGCGGTGTGAACCGAAGAATGAAAAGATGCCCCGGCTTACATGAGCTAAGCGAAGTCAGCTTAGCTTCGTTCGCGGTGTGGCCTGCGCATTAATATCAGTTTAACTTGTTTACCTGTAAAATAAACATACTTTGAATTTGCATTTACAATAATAATAATAACGCACATACTCAACAAAACCCCGCACTAGAGAAACCCTGTGTCGCGGGTGTCATGGACACACATACAGACAACCACAAATTGCATCCAAGTTCACGAGAGTAACAAATGCAAGCTATACAATTATTTATCCCGGCCCAGGAATCGAACCTAGGACCTCTGCGTGGCAGTCCGGCTATGATAACCGTTCAGCCACAAAGGCAGTTTTATTTATAAAGTTAAAAAAACTGGTTTCTTTGACGTATGAAAGTTATGACTAAAAGAGCCCGATTCAACCCTATACTCTAAATTTGTTCAAACAATAAACGTTTAAAACATACATATTTCATTTTATTGTTAAGTAGCTAAAAAAAACTAAAAAGTAGCTAAAGTTCGTGCGCATGAATATTTTATTGGTTTTTGTCTTTTACGTTATATTTCCGATTCATGGAATTACTTGGGAATTTTCTAAATTCCAGGGGAATTTGATAAACCTACTCCGTAAACTTATTTTCCGTTAGTGTTATATACATATATCACAGGTCTTGCGTGTGGCAATTAATAGATTGTGTAATGTATACACACTGTATACATATGTAAGGATGGCGTAGAAAACAATTTTCAAGGAATTTAACAAATACCATATTATATTTCTCAATCGCCAAATTTATGCCTCACACCAGCCAAGCATTCGTTTTATCTACTTGTCATGTTGTTATATTATTTCAACCAATTTTATAGTTTTATAGTTTTGGTGAATCGAATTATGTCATTAATAAAATTACTTGTAAATCATAATTAATTGACTAGTTTGTAACGATGTACAAAAATTTGCGGCAAATTCAAGGAGACCTTACACATTATTATATTGTAGTTTAGTAGCCATCCCAAAGGTCAATATCGTACATATGATACTGAAGCTGTTGATGTTCAGGCATACGATGGATGGCCTCATTGCGTTCAGGAATTGGCGCCCATTCGTGTCCCTGGTACAAATATGACTTCCCTCGACGCTGCTTATGATTCATTCGGCTTACAATGTCCTGAATGTTTCTCTTGCGGGGTATCTCGTTTAATCTTGAAAATACGTAGGCCACGTGATGCTGGAATGTAGGTATATGTATATTTATAGAGTTCTTCAGTTTTTGCGATTGTTGCACATAGGAACTAAAACCATTTTTCACCAACTCCAACATTCGTCACCAACCCGTTTATATTTCCCACTGCTGGGCACGGGTCTCCTCTCAGGCGGGGTTCAGGCCATAGCACACCACACTGGCCCAATGCGGGTTGGGGACTTTACACGTTTTCCGAGTGTTGTGAACCTTCTTCAACGAGCAGGTTTCATCACGATGTTTTCCTTCACCGAAAAGCTCATGGTAATTTTCAAATTAAATTTCGCACATAAATTCTGAGAAACTCAGAGGCGCGAGGCTAGATTCGAATCCACGGTCTCTGCTTGAGGGGCAGTAGGTTGAACCACTAAGCTACAACGGCTCTTTTTCGTTTTTTCATGTATACCGAAACCATGGGATCTGTAAAGGACCCGAAACGTTGGTTTGTTTGAGAAAAAAACAAATATACGCGATTTGGACCCGAAAAATGCATTCCCTACTATCATTTCCTAAAATGCATATTGTCAGTCTATTTTAGCCACATTCGTTATTGCATTATCAACAACCCGCATTAATATAATTTCTAGAATAGTATCGACTCCGTCTCCTACATTCAGATTGTCTGGTAGATATGATTGAAGCAAAAAAGGGACGTCCAGTTAAGTGTACTTTCATCAACATCATTTCTTGTATTGTGAAATCAAGTTTAAAGTTTGATTTAATAATCATCCCCAATAAAACGATACCATAAATAGATCTAAGCTGTCTGAATTAACATCTCCCTGACACGTTTACCAGATTCACTAAGTCTTCCAACTCGTGGTTACTGCTAGAGATCTTATCTTTCCCATCGATTTATTACAGGACAAAAGGCCTCTCCAATTGAGACGGTCTTCTTATCCCACACTTACTCAATCGCAGTGACGCTTGAATGTACAAGAAAGAATACTGCTGTAACCTCATGGATTTATTCCTTAGTTACTTTTCTTAAACGTCAAACACGCGTTGCAGGTTGATAGTATCTATCTACTATCTTATTATTATCTACTAACCTTACAAATCATCAGGCTCCAATATTGGTTGTCTCCGGTCTGCTTGAAGCGTATATCTGTTGGTTCCAAGAATTCGTCGTCGTCTTCATCTACAACACCAAAATGTCGTGATTATGTAGCTTAGTGAAGACGTGAATAGAATTGATCTTCAGTGAAAAAGTATCCTGAATTTAGTCCAATCGCCTATTATTGTGAAACGTACTAAGGAATTCTAAATATAATTAAATTTGTATTGAATTGATATTCAATTATTTTTTGTGAAATTACTCCACTTTGTTATAATTATTAATACAAAGATTTGAACCGACGTCTTCTAGCAAACCGTGCCGGACGCTATGCCAACTGAAAAAAATAAAAAATGCTAAGTTTTCCATGTCCTTGCTTGTCGGATCTTTGTATTTGGTTATCAGCGACTTTTTTATTTTTTTATATAAATATTTTATATAGAAAAATAAAAATGTAACATATTTTATATAAATTTTAAATATATTTAAGTGCTTTTCCTTCGTCTTGAACTAGTAACCTTCCTAATATCGATTTCAATTGTACATACTGCCCTCGGTCTTGCGCGGAGTGTAATAATTTACCTGAGCTCGCAATTCTTATCCATTGTTTAATGTTATCAAGTACTTATAATCATATTTAAGTACACAGAACTTTAACTCTTCGAGAATATTGTGGATTTTCCCTTAAAATCAGTTACAACAGTGAGCATATGCCTATTTTCTTGAAGAGCCCTTGTTTAGGAATACAAATTAGTTCCTTTTCCAGTTCTACAGCATTTCGTTTGAAGTGGAACTATAATCATAGATATTAAATGCCCAACGTATTACGCATAGGAATTTTTTTTCAGATCTAAAAAGTGTATATTTGTTTTTTTTCAAACAAATCAAAGCTTTGAGCTTTTTAAGGTCCAACGACAAACATACAACGACTAATAAACAAATACAGGCGAATTTAGATCCGAGAAAAAGTTTCATTTCTAATGTGTACTATCAATCGCGTACTGTCTATAAAATTGTATATTTTTAGCGATTGAGTTATTAACATATCTAGGAGCGAAACGAGAGCCACAACCCCATTTGATCGGTATTTTTATTTCTTACTAAGTTTCAATTTGATTGTTAAGCTAAATTGCGTAATTGACTTTATTTATTAGCAAAAAAAAAAAATTTTGGTGCCAACATCTCAATAGTTACCAATTGGACGCTGTGTTTTAGGTAACACGGCACTGAAACTCAATCCCATTTATTTCATCCAATGCAAAGTTATTCTTTTTTTTTTAAATTGGCATTAGAAACGTAGAAAAGGAAGTGTTGAATTTAGAACACAGTATTCTAATTCAGCTTTCTTATACATACATTGAATATAAGGTATATAGGGGTACATCCAGTACCACCCCCGATCGTTTCTCTCAACAATAAGGCGTGTGATGTTGGTGACAACGTTCTTCATCACTATGTAATTCGCTGTCCAGTTTATAGGATCCTTAACACGTGAATCTAGGTAGCTGCGCAGAATTTCTAGTTCCTGAAAAGGTCAAAAATTTGAAATTTTGGAATTTAATTTATTTTAAAAGGAATTAATGCATTGCAGTTTTGGCGAACAATCTAGTTTTTATTCCAGCGAACCATTTAGTTTTTATTCCGGTGACAATTTTAGTATAGAAATATTGTAGTAATTTTTTTTTAATATAATATTAAGTGACAGGACGAACATGTCGTGCGCCTTATGGTAAGCTACACGCCTGTCCGTAACAGTTGCATTGCCTCTTAGAACTTTAAATCGCAACAATTAGAGGGGCACTGTCACTGCGCCCGACAATCTGAGACATAAGTTGACAAGTCTCATGTGCTTGTAATTTCACCAGCACCTTTACCCTTCAAAACCGGAACACAGTAATGCTGACATTACTGCTTGGCGGCAAAAATAGGTAAGGTACTTCCCTGGACGAACTCTTTGACGAGGTGCTCTTCTGCTACTAGACTACTAGATCATATCTGTAACCGCGTTTTTGTGAAAAACTTTTTAAATTTCGTATTATATATTGCGTCGTATATATAAAAACTAACTTGTTTTTCATTATGATACTAAACTTATAATCTTATAATATTAAACAAATCTAATATAATAGGTACTTACCTGTGTGGTAGGTACAAAAAACTTCATAATAATGTTCTCCTGTATCAAAGCCCAGTGGTAGAACGCGTACCAGAGATCTTCCACTAATGAGAAAGGGTTGAACCGAGCGTTTTTGCTGAACCCATCACATGTCGTCATATCTTCTTCATCGTCCATTCCATTGGGACCTGTAACTCAGCACCAAGATCATTACTTCCGAAGGTCTCTTTTCTTTGGATTTGAATGAAAACGTAAGAATAAATTATTAAATACGTCATTATTAATTGATTAAACACTAAGGAAATCTACGGTAAAAAAATGGACGACTGTAAAAAAATTATGAAAAGGTCAAAACTTATTTTATCTAAAGTAAAACCTAATACCATCTCCTTAGAGAACTTAGCCCATATTTGAGTCATAACCAACAGAGTAACATTCATGACTAAATCGTAATCAGAGAATGGACTACAGATAAAAAATTACAGTCAATACCGTAGAAATCGTTAAGCAATCTTCACTTAAAAATGTAGAAGTTATCTTTTTCAATCAATCAATTTAGAGTAAACTTCCCGTTTGCTGCTACCAGTACATTCAGGCAAACACTGGCGTAAGCCGATGGATACCTTCGTACCAGCTCCTCCTGCCGTGGTATCCTCGATTATTTTCTTCAACTTCTTCAACTCCGCGTCACGATACTCCAAGCTCGATCTCAGAGCATTCATATTTATACCTTATCCCAATGCAATAGCTTAAAATATACATTGATAAATTTAATTTTCATATTATTGGGTGCATGAAAGGAGCCTCCCGCAATGTCGGACAAATCATATTCCCAGTACATTTTGCGCACCCTGGGTAACAATCTGGTACTCTATGCTGATTGTCCGATTCCTTCACTGAGATGGTTAACATATCTCATGTACAATTCAACATGGCGGCTAATAGTGACACAGTCAGTGTGGCTAACATCTGTGCCGCAATAATAATGTGTATACCATCCACTAAAAGATTTCCTCGCGTTCCCGTCCACCGGTGTGCGCTGGCCCAAAGGACGCAAAGTTACTTACCCATTCTATTCATCGGTCCATAAACTAGACAACAAGACGGAATAACTAAAATAGACAGCAAAATCACGGCTGCAATTTCGTTTAACATTGTTAACAGCATGACATCACTATTGATTAGCAATAACTAAGAGTAACTTTTAAAACGTTATAACAATAATGTCCGATAGTGGCTACGTTGCTCCGATAATGCCTACGACAAAGAGTCAGTCAAGAGCAAAATTTTTATACACGTTCTCACAATCTCCGGATGTTGTGAAGACACAGTTAGTGGAATGTGAATATTTCTGCAGGAACTGTTTCTGCGTACAGATTCTGTAACGAGTACTCACGTTTGATCTTCGTATCTTCATATCTTTTCATATCTTCAGATATCACGTTTGATATCTGAAGATATGAAAATTACACAGAACAATAATTACAATAATTACAGTAGAAATGTTTAGTGGACGTGACACGTGTGCCAACAGTCGCGGAGTTCCGCATACTTGAGCAAGTCGTGTCAATTACGTATATATGTGAACACTTTATTTACAAGTTACAACAAAACAAATGATTTTTTTCTTTTTACTTTAATTTTTTATTTTATCTTGGGCAAAACTTTGAAAATCGTGGAAAAGCGCCTTATTTTGCTACTTCGGAGTGCAAAAATTATAGTTGCACCTGCATATTATCCATGGTGGTATTTTATATCTTCGTTAAGTCTTATTTTATTTGATTTATTTATTAAATATAGCATTTTCTGTTTGTCGTAATAGATTTTTTGTTATAAGAAACAAAAGTAAACGTTATACCGATGCAATATGTCGATATTTTTGGAGAACGTTAATAGGCTTTAATCGTACATCGTTTTCAGCTATTGCCGCTAGATGGCAGCACTTTTAATGGAATTTCAATATAAAATCAAAACGTCGTAACTTAATTGATTGATCTTTCAACGAAATGCTTACTGGGGAATGTTTAAATTATATTAACAGTCAAGAAATTGTTAAAAATTTTTAAATAAGAAGTGTTTAACATTATGATTAATGTTTTTTCTTCAAAATTAAAAAAAAAAAATATATTAAATGCCCAACAAATGCACGAGTAAAATGTTTTAAATGTAAATAATTTGATAAGTACAAGATATCGAGTACAGTAAAAGAAAACGAGTTTTATATGTAATAATAACTGTAAAATAATCACAAACAAGCAATATTTTTACTATTAATTGAAATATTGCAGAACAACTCAACGTAAAAAATACAGACATTTTGCAACAAATCAAGTAAGTGTTTAAAGCCCGCGTCTTATTGCACAGCAACAAAGTCTACTAAGAGGATGAATTAATTTTGTATATTAACTTTCCTTTTTTGTATATTATTTTTTATCTGTTCTTCTACTGGGGAGTAATTCCTGTGGTTCAACTTTAATATCTGGTTCAGTGGTAGGTTCAGGATACCGTAAATCCATTTCTAATTTCCGTTGTACCCGTGCTTCAAGTCTCATTCTCTCATACTTCAAATTCCTGGTCACTGGTAGGCCTTGCCCTTTGAAAGGTATAGTAGCAGCTTCTAACCTTTTCAATTCATCTGTATCTGGTCCTCGGCCATTTACAGCCATGACTGTGGCGTATCGATAATCGCAATACATTAAGAAGAGATATGGATCAAATATTTTCAATCGCATCTTTGTCGCAAGTATTCGAACTTCGTGAGCTGGAATATAAGTAACATAATTGAGTATTTTGCATTGCCTTGTTAAACCGGAGTACTAATTGTTCGATTCCGAATGAAAAGTAAGAGACGAATGCGCGCGCGCGCGCGTGTGTGTGTGTGTGTGTGTGTGTGTGTGTGTGCGTCTCGCGCTCTCTCTCTCTCTATCTCTCTCTCTCTGTGTGTGTATAAGTGTGTGTGTGTGTGTGTGTGTGTGTGTGTGTGTGTGTGTGTGTGTG